GTACTAATTTATGCAATTTAGTAGTGAATATTAAAGGATAATTCTGTGGTTTCCACATGAGTTCTGTTTCTTGCATCCTGTTTCTCCCTTTTTTCCTTCTTACTGTGTCTCTCCCTTCTCTTCTGTCCCCATACTTTCTTATAAATATGTTAATTTCAAAAGAAGTATAATCATACTTTTTAGCACATCACCTAGCATATGGTAAATGTTCCATAAACATAAGCCACTACTACCAGCTACTACATAATAATAGCTAATGCAGGGGTGCCTGCGTGGCTCAGTTGGTTAGTCTCAGTCAGTGTCCGACTTCAGGTCATGATCTTGTGGTTTGTGAGTTCAGCCCTGTGTTGGGCTCTGTGCTAACAGCTCGGAACCTGGACCCTGCTTCACATTCAGTCTCTGTCTCTCTCTGCCCCTCCCTGCTCAGGCTCTGTCTCTCTCTTTCTCAGAAATAAACATTTTAAAAATATTGAAAAACTAGCGAATGCATACTAATAGCTAATTTAGTCTTTATATAACCGTATCATCATTATAATACATTATTATATATTATATACATTTAGAAATATACAAATGTTATATTTATATATTAGATAAAATAGTTGTGTATTGTAGTACAGGACATATTAGTTATTTGTTTAGTAGCTTAAAACAGCAAACATTTATTTTCCCAAAGCTTATGTTGATGAGGAATACAAGAAGAGCTCAGTTGCATACCTCTGGCTCAGGGTCTCACAAGGCCATAGTCAAGGTGTTGGCTGGAGCTGCCATGTTCTCAAGGTCCAATTGAGGGACTTCCAAGTCCATTTCTATGGCTCTTACAGTTCGGAGGTTGCTAACTGTTGGCTAGAGCCATCCCTTCTTTCACAAGAGCATCTCTATAGAGTAGCTCACAGCATGGCGGCTGGCTTTGTTCAGAGCAAGTAAGGGAGCAAGAGATCAAAAGGAAGCACTAATGCTAGAAGCCAGGGTCTTAGTAATCTCATCTGGAAGATACCAGAGAGCCTTTGCTGCATTCTACTTGCTACTGGTCCCTACAGCCAGCCCACACTCAAGGGGGTAAAAAAGAATAGGAGGTGGAAATCATCACTCAGGCCATCATACAGGATGCCTAGCACACATTATCCATTATCATATATCATGTATATCATATAAATCTACCAAACTTAATTGTATTAGCTATTAATTACATACATTGAACTTTCCTGGTTTTCTGCCCATATTTGCATAGTCCTGACTTTCGACTTTTTATTTTTTAATGTTTATTTATTTGAGAGGGGGGATGGGGGAAGGGGCAGAAAGAGAGAGAGGGTGAGAGAAGTCCAAGCAGGCTCCATAGAGCAGATCCCGACATGGGGCTCAGATGTGATTATGACTTGAGCCAAAATCAAGAGTCAGATTCTTAACTGATGGAGCCACCCAGGTGCCCCCAAATTTTGACTTCTTACATGCTAATCTCTCTATCAGCCAGAGATGAGTAAGACTTCACCTCTGCAATCAAGGAACTCCCGGTCTAATTGAAAATACAGACATGCAAAAGAAAGAATAGAGCTGGTGACATGATTATAGAAGTAAATAAAAATGTAGCTCAGTAGAGAGAATGAGAAGCTCTTTGGAAGGAAGGGGTACCTGGCTGGCTCAGTCTGTAGAGCATCCAACTCTTCATCTCAGGGTCAGGAGTTAAAGCCCCACATTGGATGCAGAGCTTACTTAAAAAAAAAAAAAAATTATTCAGAAGCAGAGGAAACCAGAAAAGGTTTCTGGGAAGAGGCAGAATCTAACCTGGGCTTTGATGTACACATGAGCATTTATTTACTGGAATTGGGAGGGGATAGTTCAGAAAGAAAGGAACAGAAAGTGCAGAGACATGAAGAATTACAGCAAGTATGGGTTATTAAGAAGCGGGAAGTTGTCTGAGGACGCAGGTTTGCCAGCTTCTAACTCATGTACTGAATCCATCTTTTAAGTTGGGCTGTTACTAGGTTATTGCTTCATTCCTCCGCACATACTGCTCTCTGCCTCCTTTTTTCTCCCTCCCCACCTCGCATAACCCTCCTCTCTTCTCGCTTTCCTTTTATGGGATTTCATTTTGGCTTTTTTTTTTTTTTTTTCATGTTTTTAATTTAGTTGGATTGGACCGTAGTAATAAATTNTACTAGGTTATTGCTTCATTCCTCCGCACATACTGCTCTCTGCCTCCTTTTTTCTCCCTCCCCACCTCGCATAACCCTCCTCTCTTCTCGCTTTCTTTTTATGGGTTTTCTTTTTGTTTTTTTTTTTTTTTTTTTTTGCATTTAGGCCCTGGATTTAATTTAGTTGGATTGGACCGTAGTAATAAATTTTCTGTACATTTGCCCAGAGGCCTTCAGCTGATGGGTGTATTCTTTACAGGCCAATAAACAGATGAATAGAACCAGCGCGCCATTTCGCCTGTCTGCCTCCCTTCTCTTTCTTTGTACTTTCCCCATCAGCCATTGACTGCAGAGCCTTTCTGAAAACTAAAATTTTCCTATGTGACTCAAAAGATTAGCTAGCCTGCATTCAGTGGCTTCTGCACCTGCCAGTCCATTCCATGGAGGACTTTCCCGTTGGCTGGAGAATGTGCTCTCAGTCCACAGATCGGCCTGGGCTGGATGGGAGTGGGGAGTCCCTCCCCTGAGGCAGTGGGAACCTCAGAAAATCAGAGGCTCCCGGCTCAGGGTTGGGGGTGGGGGCAGTTGCTCATTTCTGACCACGGGTGCTGCTTGTAGTTCCCTGTAATTCGATGATAAACTGAGAGTGTAATAGAACAGAGGCTGACCAAAAATCACCTTGGGGAAAGAGAAATCGGAGGTTCTCCCAACCTGGGCTCTGAAAACAAACAGGGAATGATGCTGGAAGGACAGGGCCACCAGAGCTGCAAAACAGTCATGTTCTTGGAAGCTGTTAAGCACGGTGCACATAGATGGCGGCTCCTTCTCTCACACCATTGCTCCCGAGCTCCCTCTCCTTTCCTTCTAAGCTGCTGCTCCCTGCCTGTCTTCTCCCTCTGCCTTGCTCTGGACATTCTGTTCCATTTTCACTGCCCTAACTTCGGACTCCCTCCTACGACCGACCGACCCCAGGAGAGCACCCCCTCCCGCTGCCTGGGGAGGCTCTTCTCTGCCATGGTCTCTAGCTGGGCCAGCACATTGAGGTCATTGCTCTCCCTGCCAAATGACTGGCCTGAGTTCAGTTTGTCCATCTGTCTGAGCTTCATGGAAAACATGATTGTTGCTCTAAGCTCTCTATTATAGGTCCTGCCTTAGCTCTGCTTTGCATCTGCTTTTTTTGTTTTGATCCCCACCCCCACTTCCCTGCCTTTTCTTTCCCCCACCCGGCTCTCACCGGACCAGAATCACATCTGTTTTCCAGCCTCTGCATTCTCACTGCACAGTAGATGGGTGAAGAGCAAGTTCTCGGCGAGGCAGGTCAGGAAGAGCTGGGGTTTATACTCAGATTTGTTATAGACACTGACCAGAACCCATGTATCTCAGAGATGGGACTCCTCCATCCTTTGGAGGGGCCAAAGGTGTCATTTCCTTATTTCTGATTAGGTCCATTGCTCTCCCTTCCTCCCAAATAACTAATTTCCTTCCTTCCTCCTTCCCTCCTATGCTCTCTCCTCTCTCCCTCCTCTTTCTTACTTTTTCCTTTTCTAGTCTGTACTCTATTAACACAATCTGCTTTCTGTCTACCTATACTCTCCTCTAATTTAGCTCCTTTGCTCTCTCTATATATTGTTTATCTCCTGATGACCTAAAGGATACCTTGAAACTTGGACACTTTAAAATACATACAAGGTCAATGATTCCTCAGATTTGAGTTTCTGAAACTCAAATTTGTTCCCTCCAAAGTGGAGATATTTTTTTTTACCAGTCTAACCACTAGGTTTCTATAAATAAGAGCAAATAACAGACTTTTTTTTTTATAATTTATTTTTGAGAGAGAGGCAGAGAGTGAGAGGGGCAGAGATGGAAAGAGAATTCCAAGCAGGCTCCACACCATCCACGCAGAGCCTAACCTGGGGCTTGAACTCACAAACTGTGAGAGCATGACCTTAGCTGAAACAAAAATCAGACGCTCAACTGACTGAGCCACCCAGGCACCCCAAAGACAAAGTCTTTAAAGCTCCTGGATCAGAGAAGGGTATCTATATATTACATGAAGTGGTGAAAAGTACTGTTGGAAAATAAGGCCAGCAGAATGAACTTGGCTCCCAATTTCCTTTGGTCTCTGACAGCATTTTGTCCATAAGATTCCAGAAACCAAGATACTCAGCATAAGCTTAAACAAAGACAAAAGACAAAAGAAGGCTACCATGTCCTCTCACAGAGCTCCCTTACATTTCAAAAGGATTCAGAGAGTAGTGTGTTGTTCAACGTTTCCTAACCCTGAAACAGCCAACCCTCCCCTTGGACCAAACCTTATGCAGTATCTATCTGTTTGAATATGGAATAAATAGAATTGGGGGGGGGGGACAGGAGTGGAAGCACATTTTTGAATCCATGTGTCAAGAAAGAGGCAAAGAAAAAGAGAAATACAGGGATATAAAGTAATTTGTCAGTGTTGAAGTGATGAATGGCAAAAAAGGGGAGAGGGGAGGGTGGAAGAATAATTCAAACATGGAAGATGGCCAGAGAAGGGGCAGACTGTGCAAGGACGGGCTGGAGCTATTTAGGTAAGAAGAAACCTAAGGAAAAGTAGTTGGGGTAGAGGCTGGGGCCTGGGGCCAGACTGCAAGAGAGAAAAGAAGCTCATGGAAAAAAGGCAGAGGAGCAGGGGCCAGGCCTCCTAGGGAATGGCATATCACTCACTGGTGTGGTCATAACCTTTGGAATGAGGGTGTGAGTGACTGCAAATCCCCAGCCCCCTTCTCAGTCCAGCCCCATCATGCTCCTCTAGCCTGTCTCTCTCTCTCTCTCTCTCTCTCTCTCTCTCTCTCTCTCTCCCCCTCGCTCTCCCTCATCTCATTGTTTCAGAGTAGGCCAAATTTGAAGTCCTTCCCAGGGAGTGGCCCTGTTCATCTTATTCTCCGGCCAAAGTAGGAATAGCGCGAGGAGAGAGACACACTCAGCAGCCAAAGGACTCGGTGGAAAGAGCGGAGGAAAAGTACACAGTGAGTTGTTTGATCGTATGAAACCCTAAACAGACAGAGGGAGCGTGTGCGTGTGCGTGTGCGTGTGTGTGTGTGTGTGTGTGTTTGCTTGTTGAAACTGAAAGGCTGGAGGGGGCCATGGGGAATGCCACTGACTTAGAATTGAGTGAATATCCCAATTATCCATGGGACTCAAGAGGAGACACCAAGCTAAGCAGATGATCTGAAAAAGCCACAGGTATCAAAAAGGAAGATTAGCCACGGGGGGAGGGTGAACGAGGCCACAGAGGAGGGGCAAACATAGATCAGTGAGAACATAAAGTTTCCTCTGACTTGACAGAAAAAAGTAATGAGAATTAGAATAATGGTGAGTGATCAAAGAATAGAATTTGAAGGAGAAATAAATGTTGGATGAGAGAAAAGAGAGACGGGGCTTGAGTCACATGGGGGAGTCAGGAAAAACCCTGGGAAGACGAAGAGACAGGGGCCCTGCAGGTACCCTTGCCTGAAGCCAAAATGCTGATGTGTCCTTGAACTTTACAACCTCTACTCTCCCGACACCCTTGTTAAGATATGCTGCTCTTGGGACCCAAGGTACTTCTGTGTGTCACTGCGCTCCTCATCCCCTCTGGTGAGTCCCTACCTTTATTCTTTCCTTCCAACAATGCCAGTTCCTCAACTATACGTGTGTGTGGAGGTGGAGGTGAGCGGGCTGGATGGGGGAGGTTGAAGGAACCACGGCAGAGGTGTGCGGCTACTGAGTCCTAGAACAGCCATTAAAGAAAAGAAAAGGGGCGCCAGAGTGGCTCAGTCGGCTGAGGCTGAGCGTCTGACTGGCTCGGGTCATGATCTTGTGGTCTGTGGGTTCGAGCTCTATGTCGGGTTCTGGGCTGACAATGTGGGACCTGCTTGGGATTCTCTCTCTCTCCCTCTCTGTCTTTCCCCCACTTGGGATTCTCTCCCTCTCCCTGTCTCTCTGTCTCTCCCCCACTCATGCTTTTCTCTCTCTCAACAATAGAAAAACTGGCTATGAAAAAATGTTAAAACAAAGAAAAGAATGGATTTGTATCTGAGAAGAAAGGGCTGGGATGAGATCAGAGATGATCTCAGACTTGGGAAGAAGTTTCTTGAGAGTTTCGAACATGAAACACACACACAAATTCGTATTAACCACGAGAGGGTCACACACATAAGTGCACAAGAAAACAAACACCAAAGGAGAAAGAAATAGACACACAAGTGTGTACACAGACACACAGAGATGGCTAATAAGAAACTGGACCAAATTCAATTCATTAAGGGAAACCGTGGGAATATATATGCTCCCACCTAACCAGCATGAGCTCCTGCAGAACACAAGTATATTCACACGCACACAACGAAACATGTGCCAAACTACACAGTCAAGAAAAGTCATTGAGCTGGAAGATTGGCCACGGAAAGTGAAGCTTCAGACTTTGAAGAAATCCTACTCTATTTTATTTTCTCATTCTGTCAGGTATAGACTGTGAGAAAATCATTTTTGAGATTGTTCAGTATGATGTGGGGATAGGACTGGATACATTAGAAAGGCGGCTAGCCCCATCTGCCCAATGGGACCCCATTTATTCCCAGGAACTTATTTTTCTTCTTGAGTGTTTCCATGTCAGCACTAATGGTCTGAATAATTTTGAAGTTTTTAATTTTTGTTTTAAATGGGCTCCACGCCTAATGTGGGGCTTGAATTCACGACCTTGAGATCAAGAGTCACATGCTCTACTGACAGGGCCGGCTAGGTGCCCTTGATTTTTTGTATTGCACTCTATAGAAATCCAATGCAGAAAAATCAAGTGAATTATTTTCCCATCAAGTTCTAGTTCATCTTATAAAAGCTTTAGGGGGTGTAGGGCTGGAGTCATTTATCCCTTTTCTCTTTCCTCTGACACAGACTGGACACCACTAGGAGTCAGTGGTCAACGAGGAGGTATGTAAACCCTTGAATCTGGGCTCTTTTTAAAAAATATTTATTTAAGTAATCCATACCCCCAATGTGGGGCTCAAACTCACGATCCTGAGATCAAGAGTCACATGGTCTTCTGACTGAGCCAGCCAGGCACCCACCCATCTGCTGGGGTTCTTAACAGTATAATACAGATGAATGGTCCCAGGTAAAGAATCTGTAATATAAGAGAGAGACTCATCGCCAAATTATAGGAAATAGAATCTAACTCATCAGTTTTCAAAATCCTAATATCCTCTCAAAAAACTTATTTTTTTGACAACTGAAATACCTTCCCAAAAACCGCCTCCCTGCCTATCTCTCGTTTCTACTCTCATATATATATATATATATGAGAGATATATATATCTTATTTATATATATATCTTATTTATATATATGTATCTTATTTATATATATATCTTATTTATCTCATATCTCATATATATATCTTATTTATATATATCTCATATATATCTTATATATATATATATATCTTATTTTTCTCAGAAAACACTGCTAACAGAGAGCATTTTCTATCCATGTAACAACGGAGAAGCTAGCATGCAGACAGGATAAGAAGCCATCTCAGTATGCCAGTGAAATTCTGGCGCTGTCCCATTCATGGGACAGAACCCAAATTTGGTCTTCCAAAGGGCCACTTCCTTCAGCTGGTGAGGGAAACTCCAATTAACATCTCCACTCTGCCTCCAGACATTCAGCATAATTACAGTTTATCTCTAACTGTCTCCAACCCTTGAGAACCCATTAATGGGTCAGCAAGTCAAATTAGCAGATCACAACTGGCATTTTGTAATGAATTAGCATCAACTCAAATAAAAGTGGAGTACTTTGCAGATACATGACAAGAATAAAGTGGTCTCTTACTACTTTTGTTTCAATTTTCTATGTGTACAGTTTCTTCCTGTGCACCCTGGTACAGAGGACAAAAACAGAGAAACATGACCTTTTCCCTTTCACTGCTTTGGGTCCTTCAGTTGCCGAACCTACGACAGGGTTCAGCGTCAGCAAAACAATTCTGACTTCATTTCTCTGGGCTCATTAAGATCCAGTCCTTTTCTAGATGCTTGTGATGCTTTTCACCAGAAATAAAAGACCTGCTAAAAAGACCTACTTAAGGTTTCTTTTCAGAGAACACTCATGAACTCTAAAGAAACATTTGCACACTGTAGCTCATGGATGAGGCGGGTGATCTGAGGCTACACGGACAAACAGCACTCTATCCAGAAATTATGAGGTGACAGCAATGACACACTTTCAAGCCCTCTGCTCTCCCACTGGTTGGCTTCCATCTCTGTGAGTGGCTGGACTGGAATGCAGCAAGAGAGGAAGTGAACTGGCGGGCTGGCACTGTGTCCTGAACACAGTCCAGTCCCCTCATGGTTTTTGCAATGACTCGGGTTAGTGGTGTTTCAAACGTGCTGGGGGATTGGAACAGACTTGGATTTCTTTTACCAAAATATGTTCTGAAATAAGAAAGCTAATGTTCCTGTTATCATGTTAAAGATAAAAATCCCTGGGGCTCTGAGTGGCTCAGTTGGTTAAACGTCCGGCTTCAGCTCAGGTCATGATCTCGCGGTTCGGGGGTTTGAGCCCCGCGTCGGGCTCTGTGCTGACAGCTCAGAGCCTGGAGCCTGCTTCAGATTCTGTGTCTCCCTCTCTCTCTGACCCTCCCCTGCTCATGATGTCAATCTCTCTCTCTCTCAGAAATAAATAAAACATTTTAAAAATGTTAAATTAAAAAAAGATAAAAATTCACTTCTGTCAGATCTGATGACTTTATACTTGGATTTTTTTTTTTTTAATTTTTTTTTAAGAGGATGATGTGGGGCGCCTAGGTGGCTCAGTTGGTTGAACATCAGACTCTTGATTTCAGCTCAGGTCATGATCTCATTGTTCATGTGATTGAGTCTACCACCATCTGGTTCTGTGCTGAGCTGAGTGTGGAACCTGCTTGGGATTCTCTCTTTCTCTGTCTCTGTCTCTCTCTCTTACCTCTTGCCCCCCCTCCCCTCACCCTCTACTAGGGCTATTTCTCCCTCTCAAAATAAATTGCTTCAAAATATTTTATTTTTCTTTACCCTCTACCACAACAATCAATAGCTCTGACATGCTTTACAAAAATGTTATTCTCTCCAGATTTAACCTGACATTTAGACACTGAAGTTTAAGGCAAAAAAGTCAAAGGAAACTATGCGAATTTGCTGACCCCTGGTGGGCAAAATGGATTATACAACAAGCCATCTATAATGAAAGATAATTCTAGATGGGATATTTACTAAATATTTGGATGCCAGGGCACCTGAGTGGCTTACTCTATGAAGCATCCAACGCTTGATTTCGTCTCAGGCCGTGATCTCACATTCCGTGAGTTCAGGCCCCTGTTGAGCTGTGCTTGGCAGTGCAGAGCCTGCTTGGGAGTCTCTCTCTCTCTCCTTCTCTCTGCCCCTCCCCTGCTCACACACTCTTTCTCTCACACTAAGTAAACATTTAAGAAAAAAAAAATAACAAAAGCAGTATTAACATCTAAAAAATTTTTTTGATTAAATGGCCAACTTTGGCTCATGCTCTCCCAGTTCAAAGACTTGTGTTCGAGCCCCACATCAGGCCCTGTGCTGACAGCTCAGAGCCTGGACCCTGCTTTGGATTCTGTGTCTCCCTCTCTCTCTGCCCCTCCCCACCCCCACCTCTCTCTCATTAAAATTTTTTTTTAATATTTTTCATTTATTTTTTAAGCTTATTTATTTTGAGAGAGAGAGAAAATAAGAGTAGGGGAGGTGCAGAGGGAGGAGAGAATCCCAAGGAGCAGGCTCCATGCTCAGCCGAGCACAGAGCCAGATACGGGACTCTATCCCACAACCCATCTCAGACCACGACCTGAGCTGAAATCAAGAATCTGAACTTAACCGACTGAGCCAGACAGGTGCCCCTATTTTGCCTTTTAAAGCAGAAACAACTTGTTTTAGATAGCACTGTTATTTGTAGTTTCAATATAGTTTTCTTAATTTGTCTTAATAGATTCCACCTTAGGACCTGAACCGTTTATTTTTATTTCTCCTCCTGGCTTTACTTTCCCAGTGTTCAACTGCAAGGTACCCTCTGCCACCATTGGTGTTTCCCCTCCCCTCTCTTCACCTCACTTCTCACTGAGCATCAGAAAATCATCAACATCACCTTTTGTGGACACGCTTTATGTAAACATACCAGCAAACTGATCCAATTACCTCAAAATTGTAATGATCATAATCAGTGTCTTTGGTAAAAGACAATTTTTATTTCAAGTAAGTATTGCAAGTAGGTCGTCAACCCCTTGTCCTCACGACAAGCTATATGATCTTGGGTAAATTATTTGTCTGGTGCTCAATTTTCTCATCTGTAAAACCTGATTTAAATAGTGACTGGCACATGGTAAACCCAAATTAACTCTAGGCTTATTATCTGGTAGGACAATAAAATGATGCTACTCTTCCTTCCTATGCTTAATCTAAGTATCCATGAGAAAGGGGGTGCCTGCGGAGGATTATCTGATGGGCATATAGAGTAAAGCACACAAAGGGGAAAGGATATTCTAGCTATGACTGTATGGGGATATTCATGGAAGTGGCCAAGCGTGACATTTGTTTGGATTGTGGGGAAAGGACTTGGGCTGGGAAGCAAATGAAGACAAACAACCTTGGGATACTCGCTACGTGTTAGCAGTCGTGCTGGACAGTTTCTCTTACTGGGAGTGCAAGGATGGGAGGGGAGGGGGAACGCCCACAAAATGTTCTCTGGGGGCAGCCAAGTGGCTCAGTCAGTTAGCGCCCGACTCTTGATTTTGGCTCAGGTCGTAATCTTGCACATCGTGAGTTGAATCCCCACCTCGGTCTCAGCGCTGACAGCACAGACCCTGCTTGGGATTCTCTCCCTCTCAAAACAAATAAAGTAAAAAGAGTTTTCTAATGTTTGTGTATTCAGATGATGTGACTCCAGAAGCATTCACAGAAGATCCTAGTAAGCGACCCTTTGTATTTCTTTGCTTTCACACTGGGGCTAGAGGGACTGAGGGCGATGTCTGTGCGGAGAGAAACGAAAGTTACAAGAGGTGAGTGGGCACCCTGGGCTCGGGCAGACCCTAGTGTCTGCCTTAGGCACCACGGAGGCTGTGAACCTGCCCAAGCTTTTCTCTCCCGCCTCCGTCTCTGAGAGTCCGTCACATCGGCCCAAGAGGTCACACCCTTCACTTCGATCCTTCTTGCCTCCTTTTTGATCATCCCTTTACCCTCTTTCCCTTTGCCACTTTTCCTGCCTGCATATTTTATTCCCTGTGCTGTATCTTTGCAGATCTGGTGAACGAGCCCTCTACGGACGAAACAGGTAAGTTGTACTACAGATCTTTTAAAATGGCATGATTCTTGTTAATATTCACAACATTTATTGCAGCATTTGCAATTAAATATAAAATCCGATATTTTTATCCCGGAGAAAGGGACAGAAGGATTGCGGGTGTTTTATTCAGTGACAAGTGGGATAAAAGGAAAAACAGTCCCACTGGTTCTCTGAAAAAGATGAAACAAAGTGGATTCTTAGCTAAAATAAGGCATGTGTACTAATGTCAGTAGGCCACATATTCTCCAAAAAAATGTTCACGATTACCTCAACGAACTCTACTCCCTTGGATATAATACACAAACCCAGCCGTAGCCTTGACTTTGCCCTGATACGTCCATTTTTTCCACTCTGCCTTCCCCTTTGCCAATTCACAGCCCTCCTCACACCTGCTGTTTTGTGCCTTTTCAGTTCTGGCCGATATCGAGCCTTCCACAGATGACCTGGGTGAGTTCAGATCTGGGATCCCAGGGCCACTGGGGCCTTTCTGGGCTTTCCCCAGAGCCCATTACGGAAGGCGGTACAGCTGGTGAAGGTTCCTAAATAGCTACCACTACAGTTTGTGAAAATTCTTCCAACAGTTCAATTTAATTTTTTTAAGGTTTTATTTCTTTCTGAGAGAGAGACAGCATGAGCAGGGGAGGGTCAGAGAGAGAGGGAGACACAGAATCTGAAACAGGCTCCAGGCTCTAAGCTAGCTGTCCACATAGAGACTGACACAGGTCTCAAATCCACAAAATGTGAGATCATGACTTGAGCTGAAATCTGATGTTCAACTGACTGAGCCACCCAGGTGCCCCCCAACAATTCAATTTAAATGAGTGACATTTTTGATCCTCTCACAGGCAGGGACTGTACTAGGGGGTCTGACCTACAAAATACCAATGTGAGATCTTTCCCTCAAAGTTTCTAAGACCGGATGGCTAAAGACAAGATAAATATATACACAAATCAATGTTTGGTAAGATAAAAGGAAACTTTCTAGAAGTAATGGTTGAACCGATTCTTGAAAGAATGATTGGAGCCAGCCAGGCAGTCAAAGAGGGGACAGTATGCTCAAAGGTGTGAACACAAAATAGGGCTGGGCGCATTGGAGAAACTGAGTTTGTTTGTTTTTTTTTAAACATTTTAAAAAATGTTTTATTTATTTTTGAGAGAGAGAGACAGTGTGAGCAGGAGAGGGTCAGAGAGAGAGGGAGACACAGTATCTGAAGACAGGCTCCAGGCTCTGGGCTGTCAGCATAGAGACCGACACAGGGTTCACAGTCCACAAACTGTGAGATCATGACTTGAGCTAAAATCTGATGTTCAACTGACTGAGCCACCCAGGTGCCCCGGAGAAACTCAGTTTTTTAAATGATTAGGGTGAAATCTACAAGAAGCAAGGGGTAGGATGTGAGAAAAGGAGACAGACTAGATTATTTTAAAGAAATGGTTACTGAGAACCCTCTCCTGGGTTTACAGGAATATAAACCGGGAAACACAAAGATGAACAAAACTGATATCCTCCTACGAGATATTTTTTGTCTAATATACAAGATAAACAAATGGCAAACTTTAACTTTTTTCGGTTTCACAAAATGCCATAATCATGACGAGCAAAAGGAACTATGGAAAACTCAAAAAGAGTCCTTCGGGGGGGCGCCTGGGTGGCTTAGTCGGTTAAGCGTCCGACTTTCGCTTAGGTCATGATCTCGAGGTTCGTGGGTTCGAGCCCCGCGTCGGGCTCTGTGCTGACTGCCAGCTCAGAGCCTGGAGCCTGTTTCAGTGTGTGACTCCCTCTCTCTCTGACCCTCCCCTGCTCACGCTCTCTCTCTCCTAGAAATAAATAAAATATTAAAAAAAAAAAAAAAGAGTCCTTCGGTATATTCAGTGCTTGGGGTTAGGAAAGGCTTCCAAGCAATTGACTAAGTTGCTTCTTGAAAGACCAGTAGAAGTGAATCAAGTAAACAAGGAAAAACCTTTGGCGTAAGGAAAACACTGTGCACAATGGGTTAGGATGGAAATAAAAACCAATCCGAGAATAGTTTATACAAAGAAAGATTCTGATCAGATTTGTGAATTAGAAACCCAGCTAGAATGCTACTGCAGTAGTCCCAGTAAAAGATGATGGCATGAACTGAGGTAGAGGTAGTGAGAATTAGGTGTGAACTGTTAAGTGAGAGGCTGAGATGATGTCCAGTTTCCGGTTGGGTAGCCGGTGGTACCATTCACTGAGGAACAATCTGAATTGGTAAAAGATAAGACAGCTTAAGATGTACTGGATTTGAAGGACCTTTGAGAAATCCGCAACCTCTTCCCTAAAGTGGCAGGTAGATTTACAGGTCTGGAGCTTAGAAGAGATCTGGGCTAGAAGCAGCACTTTGAGAATTCTCAGCATAGAAGCCTGCAATCGCCAACCAGGGGATAGATTAAGTCCCCCAGCATACTTCCTATAATATCCTGTCTTTAAACAACTCCCCCAATGGCACTGGTACACGTCACTCCCATGGTTAGTATATTCCCTCAAGACTATTCCCTCCTTACTCCTTGATTTATTAATCATTCTACAAGCTAAGCCCGTATTTAACTTGACCAGAGGTCAAGCCATGGATGAGATTTTTGCTATTCTTGGCTGAATAACACTTTCATCTAAGAACCTATGATGATGTATCTGATTTATAGAGCAGAAATTTTCCTTGATGACCAAGAGCTTCTACGGGATAACAATCTTTCTTCTCCTTAGCTCCAGGATGAAGCTCTTCCGGGCATATGGCTTCTGTCCATACTAAATTTCCTCCTTGTCAACAACACAAAGCTACTCAGAATGCAATTGAATTTTCAATTCTAGAAGAGAAAGGAGAAAGGCAAAATCAGATTTCCCATCCTAACTTCTAAATCTGTTCAGTTGTGTGGATCAAACAGTCCTCTGTGGGTTTTCTTTTAGAAGATAGCATTATCAACTCATTTTTTTACTTATGGGTGCCCCATATGGGCCCCAAGTGACTTGACAGTTACGGAGGTAGTAACTTCTAGAACTGGTAATAACTGAATGAAATTTCTGCCTTCCAGCTCCAGCCAATGATAAAAATACCACAGCAGGTATGATTGCCGTTGGCATATCTTTTTCTTCAGCTTTCTTCTTGGGGAATCCTTACCGCTTTGTTCCTTGAAGGGTACTTGCTATACCTTCTAGTTCACTTCCAATTTTTCTCAGAGAATATTTTTAGTGCCCTTCATTCATGCCCTCCTGTTTTTAAAGAGCTCCTGTCCTCAAGGTCATGGGGCAAAGATGGGACCGCTGTTGGATGATCCCAAAACAGTCCCTTCCTGAGCTACCTTTGGACTTTGTGTGCTAGTTAGTGTGTTGGCAACTGACTGCAAGGCCTCAATATGACCATAGGTGTTGTGGGCAGAGTTGCTTTCTCTAATGTACTTATGATTCTGAGGTTCAGCTAGGATTGAAAACTACCGAAACAGAAACTGACCCATCTAAGAGCTCTTATTCTCTAGAATGGGGTTAGCAGCATTTCATTGCAATTTGATATTTCATACGGCCACCTGGATAACCCTAGAAAGACTTTCCTAGAAGAACTCTCAGAGATTATTTTAACTACTTCTGAGTCCAGGTAGGAAAGCACCTAAATTTTATTTTAGCCCGTTTCCTACTGTTCTGCTTTGGTGAACAGGAAGGGCATTCCCCAACTTACAATGATCCCATGTCAAGACTACTTTGTATTTTCCCCACACCTCCGTACCTTCCTCCGTCTCTTTAACCCATGGTTTATGCCTCTCCCTGTTTTTCGTGTTGGATTTCTTCAGATTGCCGGGATGAAAAATTTGCTTGCACAAGACTCTACTCTGTGCACCGGCCAGTCAAGCAATGCATTCACCAGTTATGTTTCACTAGGTAAGGCATCCCAGAAATCACCTTCCCTGGGAGTGGCTTCATGTCAGTAATGATGCAATGATCACCCACTGCAGAACTTCAGTCTTTAATGGCACAGAAATTGTGAACATGGCCCTCTTAGCTATTCCTGACCATGCCAGATAGGACCTGAAGTCTGCCTGGAGTAAATACCAAAAACAGACGGACTAGTAAGACTAGATGCTAGAAAGCAAGTGAAGTGAAGGCTGGAGAAAGGGTAGTCATGACAGAAATACCAGCACAGCCAGCCTATGACCCCCACAGAGAAAGGCTGAAGCAAAAGATTCAACGCTGAATGTCAAAAATAGTGGAGAGGAGCATTAAGCTTGACTCCAGGTGGAATGTGCATTGTAGCACTAAGAGTAATTAATGCCATTCCATCCCCTTCACTCCTCTGGGAGGGAAAAAAATCAGCCCGAAATACTTAAGGAAATCCAGAAAGGAGAACAGACAGGGGAGAGTGGGAAGTACTGGAGCTGAAGAGGCACCCTCGGCCTCAACGCCACATGCTAGAGTTCCTCCCAATGGTTTTCGGTATCTCTTTCCTCAACCATGTTACTGGGTCTACGACAGCTTGCGACGTATGTACATCATCAACAATGAGATCTGCTCTCGTCTGGTCTGTAAAGAACATGAAGTAATGAAAGGTAAGATGACGTCTAGTTGTTTCGTGGGGAGGGGCAGCGATGAGAGAGGTAAGTGGAGACATGAACCTGATGGATCCAAAGCCTGGCTTTGGAGGAGGGCTTTAGGCCACCCCCTTAACTTCCATCAGTCCCTGCACCACGAAGTTCTGCTAAATAAGCTATCTAAGTAAAGCAGTGGGCTTAATATATATATACACAACCCTAAGAAAAGTATACCTGGATCTCTTTTCAGCTAGAGTGTAACCCCCAACGTCTCCTATAGATAGAGCTTTCTGAACCTCTAGCTGTTTTGAAGATCCTTCATGGAGTTCTAGGAGAAAAGGCCAAACCAGGGGCACCTGGCTGGCTCAGTCTGGGAATTCGAGCCCCACATTGGGTGTAAAGATTACTAAACATAAATAAAAACTTAAAAAAAAAAAAAAAGGAGGGGCACCTGGTTGGCTCAGTCGGTTGGGCGTCCAACTTCGGCTCAGGTCGTGATCTCACGATTAGTGGGTTCGAGACCCGTGTCGGGCTCTGTGCTGACAGCTAGCTCAAAGCCTGGAGCCTGCTTCAGATTCTGTGTCTCCCTCTCTCTCTGACCCTCCCCTGCTCACGCTGTCTCTCTCTCCCTCTCACAGAAATAAATTTTAAAAAAACATTAAAAAAATTTTTTTTTAAAAAAGAAGGAAAGGCCAAGTCAGCCATTACAAATAACATGGGCAGCCATGTTCACAAGGGAGAAAACTTCTCTAAAGAAAAAAAAAAGCTCCACTAATTTGGAGACGTTGATGTTTGGACCGGACCTAAATAAAAACGAGACAGGACATTTAGAAGCTGGCTACCTTTGAAACAGTTGATCAATTCCAGGAAATATTTACATGATTTAGTGTAAAAATTCAGAGGTATAGGAGGGTAGAAAACCTTGACAAAAACAATGAAAAGGGTCCAACGTGCGTGGTTATACCCTGTGCATTGTGGGAATACAGATACTTCTCACCTCCTCCATGGCCAGCCCCAAACGATAAGTGTGGCTGGTGCAGGACCACAGACACATCCCCTTCTGACTCAGCAGCTGTCTTGCACCGAGCTCCTGAGTAAGAGCTGTAGTTAACTTCGCAGAAGGAAACTTGCTAGTTGCCACCATGGGCCTTGTGCAAGCCAGCTGCAAGGGAAGCACCTTAAGATTGAGGATGAGTATCTGGGACTTAGGCACTTTCAAGGGTCTCGGGGGACTGACTAAAGTTAGCCATTTGAACCCAGTACACACTTAAGCATACAGTGAATAATTGAATCTCTCTCTCTTTTTTTTTTTTTTTTTTTTTTTTTTGGCTATTGAATAAGCCCATGATTAGAAGAATTGGGAGCTAGGCGTGTAGAGGAACCTAAAACGTACCGGCCACCTGTGCTAGGTACTTTGCATACATTATTTCATTTTAATAGCCCCAACTATATGGTTGAGGCAGGTATTTCATGCTTCTTTTACTGAAAGGGATAGTGAGTTAAAAAGTTAAGTAACTTTCTAGTAAGTAACAAATAACCAGTAAACTGCAGATCTGGGGTTCTAACCCAGATCTATTTCTCTTCAACCTTTCACTACAGCACACTGCTGTCTTCTCTTTCTTTTTCCCAGAGTTTACTTATTTACTTACAGAGAGAGAGAGAGAGAGACAGAGACAGAAACAAAGACAGAGAGAAACAGAAGCAGAGAGAGAGAATGCATAAGGAAGAGTAAGAGAGAGAGAAGCCCACGTAGGCTCCACGCTGTCCGTACAGAGCGCAAGGCAAGGCTCGAACTCATGAACTGTGAGATCCTGACCTGAGCTGAAATCAAGAGTCGGACACTCAACCACCTGAACCACTCAGGCACCCCGGGTCTTCTTTCTCCTAAAACCCCAGCCCTTGTTATCTTCCTGCATTCCTATCCCATTATGTTCTGCTTCTCTTCTAGATGAACTTTGCCGTCAGATGGCTGGTTTGCCCCCAAGGCGACTCCGTCGCTCCAACTACTTCCGACTTCCTCCCTGTGAAAATGTGAATGTGCAAAGGCCCAGCGGTCTGTGATGGTCAAGAGGCAGGAAGCACATGTGGGTGGGAGGAAGAGAATGCTCTAACAAGAGGGAGCTCCTTCTTCCAACCGTTGCTAGCTAACCCATAGATATTAGCATTTCTTAAACCAATCCCTTTGCAGTCTCTAGCTTTGGACCCCACTCCCAGATTTATTACCCCGACTGATAAAGTCTATATTATTGCATGGTTTTGCCGCTTCTCAATATCATAGATGCAGTAGATCAATGATAACCATGTGGCTTATATACAAACATTCTACACACAATTTCAAAGGAAAATAAACTTCTGGTTAATATTTGTGATTGAATCTGTCTGAATGAGATCTTAGGGTGGAAGAAGGTGTCACTACTTTGGCTAGTCATAGAACTTCACTTCTTTGACTTTCAAGTGTTTCCTAGATTAAGTCCCCATTCATTTACACGGTCCTCTTTACTCTCAGGCTAACTGTTTTTGCTAGATTTGCCTGGCAGGTCTTTCTGGGAAGAGTCACGGTAATTTGTATAGTCCCAGAGAATTCTCTGAAGCCAAGGGTTACACAATCCTACCAGCGATAAAGACCCAAGGTGAGGTCTGCTAAGCTTGGAGGCTGAGGCTAACAGAGGAGGAGGCCAAGTTAGGACTTGGGAGGAACTTGGGACTCATGGTTCCCTATTCAATTTTTCATGCAGCAGTCCAACTGGCAAGTAGGGCTAGAAAGTCCTATTTGTTTACTCACTTATGGTCTTGGGGGGTGGGGGTTAGCCCACCTCCCCAAATTAGACAACTTTTATGTTGGTCTGAATTCCCTTGGCTACTCCTTTCACCTCATTATCAAACAAAATCTGCAGAGACTATTGTGCAAATGGGTTCTGGAATAGCCTGATTTGCACCTTAAGCAGGACATTCAGACTTAAACTTTCAGAGGCAGAGAAAGTTTACCTAGTGGCTTATAAGAAAGCATAAAAGAAATAATATGCAGACAACCCACATTCTTAGCCTGGCTCTAACAGTGACCAGGAAGATTCAAGATAAGCCCAGGCTTCCATATTAGGTCCTGGTTTAATTCCCCATCTTTAACATGACAAGGTTAAATTTATGTGAGTTCTAAGGTTTCTTTTAATTCTGTGATTTAAGATTTAAATGCATCATTCATATTTCTTGAGGCCTACATGCAGTCTAATTCACAACCACCTTGTCTGCTGTAGGAGGGAAGAATATCCTATGTATTAAGACAGCAGTCCACAATGTAATAGAAAAAAAATCCCATTGTAAGTGACCATAAGATTACAGATCCTTCTACCTGAAGAGCTTAGTAACTTTCCAAAAAGGCCAATGAAGTTCAAGTAGGAAACAAGAATTTGGGGCATGTTATACACCACAGAATTCCACTCAAGAGCGTTGGATTCTTTTCATATTGGAAGAAAGCTGTAAATGAGGATCAAGCTGGTGAGGTTAAGAAACAATTTAGCCTAGTGGGATTTGCTCAACCGATTAAAGAGAAAGACGAGGAAATGACCAAAGCATGTAATCTCTCCTCCGCAGCTTCCAGAAGTAAATTTGCTCATATATAGACAGACATATTGGATGCATATTGTAACCGCTGTAGAGAAATCTCAGAGGCAGAGTTTCCAAGAATCATTTAAGACTCTCTCCACAACGTGACCCCTCCTACCCAGCACTTCAATCCCAGTTTTGTGTATATTGCAAATTAAGCATTTTAAAATAAATGTTTCTCATTTCCTCCTCAGAAAAGAGTGGTCTATGATCTGTTTCTTTTTCTCTTCCATGCCTAGAACTTTATCCTCCTTGAGGACTTTATCCCCCTTGGAAAAACAGAGCAGCAGTATCGCTCTATTCCACTATTCTCTATCATGCCCTTCCTCACTCCACAGTATTGCCACTGGTTCTCCAATACTCCAATTTACCCTCTCCAGAAAAGTCCTTAATTCACCAGAAGATTCCCTTTCTTTCCTGTTCCCCGTGAAAATCTTAACCTACTCACAATCTTGCTACGTAAAGCTTCATGCTTTCCTCTCTCCTCGTTAGCACGATCATGTTCCAGTGTTTTCCATTTCTCATTGTTCTTATGTTCTCTGCCTTCTTTACTCTTGAAATCTAAACCAACATTTCTTCTTCTTTCTTTTTTAATGTTGGTTTTTGAGAGAGAGAGAGAGAGAGAGACAGACAGAGCACGAGCAGGGAAGGAGCAGAGGGAGAGCGGGAGACACAGAATCCGAAGCAGACTCCAGGCTCTGAGCTGTCAGCATAGAGCCCGACGCAGGGCTCGAACTCACAAACCATGAGATCATGACCTCAGCCAAAGTCAGAGCTTAACTGACTGAGCCACCCAAGCGCCCCATGTAAACAAACATTTCTAACTTGTTTCCCATTTTTTCTTTCCTTATGTTTATACATTGCAACTTTCCCCTAAGGATGCTCCCAGGTCAGTTTCAGGAGGTTGTTTTGATCCTTTTCTTTCCCTCTTCCCCTTGCCCACTGGCAGAATTTCTTTCACTTCCTTTTTGCTGTTTTACACTTGCCTCATTTCAGGTTCCTGATGTTCTAGTTTTCATCCTTTGACACTCCCATTAAAGGATCTGAAAGCCTTTTTCTCTTTTAGGCATTAATATGAATATGGTGAGCACAAATGACCATTTTGTAACAAGGAACTTATATTTTGATGAAAAAGAATTATTTGAAACAAAACAGTGCATCCTTAATACTGGAACTAAAGGATTTGGTGAAAGGATGTTCAGGCAATTTTTGAGATTGAATGCCTTCCTGGTACCTTGAAAAATGGCAGCTTCATCTGCCTCTCCATGAGGTCCACTCTTGTTTTCTCTTCCAAAATTGAGTTAATCTGGCTTTTTCTATAAAACTTGCTTATGAAAATTCTCCTTTCTCCTTGAATGGGAAATTCAAGTGTGCACTGTACTCTAAATATAGCTCCATGCACACTTTCGCTAAGTAGTCTTTTGACTCACAGGCAGATGGTGTAAACCCCAGCTGGCCTCCCCACTTCTGAGTCTTACTTTTGATGACATCAAGGAGTGTGTGTTGCTAGCCACAAGCTCCTCCCCACTCTGCTTCGGGGTGTTTGTGTCTAACCAGATATGTTACCCCCCGTCAGAGGTGCAAACAACTTGCAACCTCTGAGGTCCTCCTTCCCTCTGCACCGAAGCAACTGTAAGAAAGAATCCTAAGAAGAAATACAAAAGATGGAAGGGCATCAGACGGGGGGGTTAGCAGATGGGAGAGTAATGATGGGCTGACATCAGAACTGGGGACCGGGATGCCAGAAGACAGGAATTCGCTGATCTGATGAGAAAAGGGAATTTGGAAAGTGCAGTCAGTGAAGAGGTTCCGAGAGACCTGGAACTTCACGGGGTAGAACGGAAAGACATTGGGAGCACAGTAGAAGGACTGTCCGTATGGATTTGTCAACTCAGGGAGGCAAAGATGTGGTTAAAAATACAAAACTCCCAACAAAAATCAGAATCCTGTATCATTTAGCATTTTCACTAACCAAGCATCAGGGAAAGTGACTGGTTGAGGTTCTCTGCGGTAGAGAAAGGAACATGTGGCCACAGTTTTTTTTTTTTTTTTCCTTTCTTTTTTTTTTTCTCTCTAAAAACCATTCAAGCAGAGCCAGAAGCAGTAGTCAGACGACAACTTCTGGTCAGAACCTAAGATGGAAAAAGCAAATGCTGTTTATATAAATAGAGGTGCAAAGCCCGTAACTTCCTGTTGACAAATTGAGCTTCACTTCACCCCAAACCCTCAACTTTTTTTTTTTTTAGATAGTTGATAAAGGTGGGTTTTTTTTTCCCTTTCAATTTGTCCAATCACTTTCAGCAAGGTTCTGGTTTTTTCCTCAGCCAGGGGTCCTGCTTTTTTTTTTTTTTTCTCTATCTCTGGTATTTTTCTTTCCTCTCCTTTTCCTTTCTACTGTGGGATCACCTTCCCACATATCTGTACTATGTAGCTTTACAGAGTGCATTATTAAATGTACCTAATAAGCCATGAGGATTGAATTCAGGATGATCTCTTAAATTTGTATAAGATTCACCTCCTTTCCTAACTCCCATCCCAAAATAAGGAACAGATGAACTTGGAGCAAATAAGGAGATATTTAATGAAAAATAGCCAGAATGATAATTAAAGTATTGATGGGCATTGAGGTATCAATGTGTCATTATATACTATTTCCTAATATGTTGTTCTGTCCCTAAAGGTCAAAGACAAGTAGTTGTAATGAAGAATAATGAGGGTGGCACAGAAAAACATTCCTGCCATTTGTATTAATTACATCTATCTATCCATCCATTCATTTCTGAAAATTGTTGAAAGTTTGGGAGGAAGAGAAAGTTTTGGGATTTCTTTCAAGATTGTGTTTATTTAAGAAATCTCTACACCCAACACGGTGCTTGAACTCAAAACCCTGAGATCAAGAGATGTATACTCCAGGAACTGAGCCAGCCAAGTGCCCCAACAAAGTACTATTAATACAAAGAAGCTTATGAAAATGTGTAATGTTGACCTCAAAATCAACAGGTGTTGAAAACAAAAATTACTTCAAAAATGTTCATATAAAATCATGAATGACAGCTCCTTGACTGGTTACTCAGAGAAACTAGTTTGCAGGAAGGTAATCTATAACTTGATAATGTTAAACTATGTTCACATGTTACCATTATCTCACAGAAACTGGGATGGAAAGATCTGGCGCAGTGTAGTAAGTGATAAAGTACAATAATTCATAAAAAATTATAAATTGAATTTGTAAGCACAATTCATTAGAATCATAATATGTTCCAATGACAGGGGCAGGAATAATTTCTCTCTTGCCACATAGCAACTAAAAAATGTGTCATAAAGCACCAGAGTGGTTCAGTCAGTTGAGCATCTGGCTTTGGCTCAGGTTTGTGGGTTCAAGCCTCACATCCGGCTCTGTGCTGATGGCTCAGAGCCTGGAGCCTGCTTCAGATTCTGTGTCTCCCTCTCTCTCTGCCCCTCCCCCGCTCACACTCTGTCTCTTTCTCCCTCTCAAAAATAATCATTAAAAAATATATATCATCTATGCATGGGGCATTTGCACTCAAATCAAAACGGTTCTAGGTATAATAAAATGTATATTTTCTTAAGGTTTCCTTATTTTGAAAGAGAGAGAGCATGCACACACAGGGGAAGGGCAGAGAGAGGAGAGAAAGAAAGAGAGAGAGAGAGAGAGAGAGAGAGAATCCCAAGCAGGCTTCATTCTATTGGTGCCACCAGGGGTAGATCTCACCAACCATTGAGATCTTGACCTGAGTGGAAACCAAGATTCAGAAGCTCAACCAACTG